CATTCGAAAGCCGGGACTTCAGGCTACACCCCCACGTCGCCTGTACGTCTGTGGCTAGTTTTATTTTCAATTTTACAAGGTTTTAGAAGGATTTTTGGAAAACCGGCGACGTGGGGCTATAGCCTAAACTCTCGGCTTTCGAATGGTTACTAACACTCCTATGAAAATAATTCCTATCCAGTGGATGAGGTCGGTTTTTATTTGTCCGCTGAAAACCGCAAAGTACCGGAATCGATCTTCACCAGGCCTCAGCACAGGCCGCTCCCGCTCACGTTTGCCTCCTGAACACTCCCTCTCCTCAGTGCATTCCAAGTTCACCCGGAGGGAAGATACTGACCATCATAGCCACCTCCCCTCCCCCCACCGACATGACGGTGTGTAATCTTTCCCCAACTGAGCGGGTTCTTCGAGAACCTCCCTTACCCTTTCGTAATTCACGGCCCCACCACCTTTGCCAGCGAGGAGACCCCCTAATTCCCTCGGCGAAATCGTCGTTGCGATCAATTATCCAATATTGGGAACTGGCTTTCATCTGGCCGGCGGACGATCGATAATACGGAAGATGATCAATATTCTGCTTTATTGATTAGCTAACCCGAGGCCTTCATAAACCTTCAATCAACAAGTAGTGAATAATTTTAAGAACTTTTGTTAGCCAATCAGTGAAAGCAGAATATTGATCGGTAATATTTCGCTTTAATCGATAAATTAGCTGAAGAAGAAAAGCCCGAGGGAGACGAAGATGTTGAGCGCGTTAGCCGTAGTTGTGTAACAATTGGATGGTGTAAACTCGTGAGTAGAACAAAAGCGTTATTGATTAGTTTTATCGATTAGTTATATTGATCGAATTTATCGATTAGTCCTTCGTTTACAGGCGGTTCCTATTTATTAGCCTTATCGTTGACTAAATAGGTGCCCATTCGCAATCAGTTTTTCCAGCTTCGAGAGTTTCTTCTGCTTTTTTTTTCTTTTCTCTTTATTTTTTCCTTCTTCCTCTTTCCTCCTTACTTCTCCTTTTCGCCTTCCATCTCTCCCTCCCCCGTCATCTTTTCTTCTTCTCGTTTTCTTTTTTCTCAAATTTCTATTTTTCTTGCCGTCATCGCTACTCTTTCGAGAGTTGATGAAGTGATCATGATTGTACTTAATTTCCTTTAGATCATTTAATTGTGAAAAGGATTATTTCTGTTCCCATAATTTCTCTGATAACAAAATTCTTGCCTCCATTTTATTGCATATGCCGTTCTTTGTTCGCACAGTTTTTGTGTCTAATCGATTTTTTATCTGATCTCTTCCGTCTGTTTCGAAAATTTTGTGTTGCGGAAGATTTTTGAGGTTTCCTAGGTGGTCATTGGAGATGTTAATGAGTAGTTTACAATCCGAAAATAACAAAATATGTCGTCAGGGTGGAAGTTTCCTTCAGAAAATTTCTCTTTTCAGACATCGAGTCGCCCCGTAAAAGAGCAGTTTTGCTTCGCACACTACGGGTACTTTACTAATTTGGATCAATAAGAACCGAGACGAGGGTAAGTCTATTATAATTTCATTGCTCTCGTTCGACTAATTTTTTTTTGCTCCAGTTTTTCTAGCCCTTGAGAAATTCACTGGAGAGCAAAGAAAAGAAAGTTTGAAGTCGAATTTTTTTCCCCAGATAGATCTTTTCCTTCTGGATTCAGGAGTTTCTGGAGTTACCACTATTGTACTTGAGAGTACTCTTCGTGTTATCATAGAGTAAAGGAGATTACTTCTCATCAAATAGCTTATATAATTACGATTTTTGCTAACCAATTTTTTTACAAATTTTGCAAAGTTTTTGCAAATTTTCACTTTACAAATTGCGAGTGATAGTAGAGGACACGGAGGTCAGTCCTTCATAATTTTATTGGTTTACTTCGACTGTTTTTCCTGCGCATGTGGCGCAGTGGTTAGAGGTGCCCTGCGTCGCACACGAGGTCATTGGTTCGATCTCGTGCTCATGGCTCACCAAGCCATCCATCCCTCCGGGGTCGGTAAAATTGGTACCAGACAGGTCTCAGACTTGTCTGGGAGGAAAAGCAGCACTGACTCGGTTCAGCAGGACGCCTCCGCGAGTCATTGTAAGGGCTAAATATGCATTCAATCACCTCAAACGAAGTTAAAAATTGAAGTCGAATGCATGGTGCATCCCTCAGGGATTGATCAACGCCGAGAGCTTTATCCTTTATCCTTTTATTTTTCCTAGCCTTTATGACTATTGAAAAAGCCACTCGAGAGCAAGGAAAAGAAAGATTTGAAATGGAAAGTCTCGTCCCCGGATAGTCCTTTTCCTTCCGGATTCAGGAGTTGGCGGAATCACCATTTTTGTACTTGGAGTGTTCTTCATATTATTTGAATGTAAAGATAATTACTTCTCATCGAATAGCATATATAATAACGTATTTATTTAACCAGTTTTTCTACAAATTTTGCAAAGTTCTTGCAAACTTTTACTTCACAAATTGCTGCTGATAATAGTCGGTACGAAGGTCAATGCTTCATAGCTTCATTTCCTCATTTTACCTCTTTTTTTATTCTTGTAACCCTACAAAGATTTGTTTGGAGTGGAGATCTCTCTGAATAGTTGTATTTTAATCGAAAATTCATTCTTTATCAAACTATTTACGGACGACAGTTGATCGATCGCGATAGCGCAGCAAGCCAGTGACGTGCAATTTCCGTCATGTAATTGAGATTTCTTCCTCCGTTTGGAAAGAAAATTTTATTTTTCTCGTGTTACTCTAATACTTCATGATTTTCTCTACATGATTTTATGCTTTTTGCACATATGTAACTCTTGTCTACAAAGAGAGCGCATTGGCGCAGTGATTAGAGGTGCTGTGCGTCGCATACGTGACCGATGATTAAATCTCGCGCTCATGGCTCATTAAGCCTTCCATCTCTCCGGGGTCGGACAAATTGGTACCGAGACAGGTCTCAGACTTGTCTGAGAGGATAAGTAGCACTGATTTGATACATCGGTAGACCACCACGAGTCATAAAAGCCGGATATGCATTCATTCAACTCAAACGAAACTAAAAAGTTGAGACGAATGCGTAGCTCATCCTACAATGGATAGATCAGCGCCGATAGCTTGTATTTCTCTGTTGCTGTATAAGGGAACCTTGAGTACGAAACATAAGCTTCTTTCGCTCGTGCAGCGTCCTATGGAAACCTTTCCAGTAACCAGTTTCAGCATCAAAATCGTTTAGATATGAGTTATCGAATGACCAACAGCTAAGCAAAAACCCATTCACAGGCTCGAGCCGAGTCAGCAGATCAAACTGAGTGTAAAACATTACATTATTTTCGCTACCATACAACGAAATAAGAGAAGCTATTTAGAAACCAATCAACCGAAGTCGCTTGGATTTGAGCTTTCGAATGTTCTTCAAAATCAAAGATAATCATTCTCCAACGAAAAGAACTTTTGAAAATTATGTATTCTTGTGGATATACGCCTTCTTGGAGATGTTAAACCTATAGGTGATTTTTTTTTGTATTAAAATGCGCATGAGCGCATGTGGCGCAGTTCAGAGGTGCTCTGCGTCGCACACGAGATGAATGGTTCGATCTCGCGGTCATGGCTCAGCAGGCCATCCATCCCTCCGTGGTCGGTTAATTAGCTTCAGACAGGTCTCAGAGTTGTCTGGGAGGATAAGCAGGACTGACTCGGTATAGCGGGAGGCCAGCGCAAGTCATTGTAAAGGCCAGATATGCATTCAATCACCTTAAATGAAGTGAAAGATTGAAGACGAATGCACGGCGCATTCCTCAGTGATTGATCAACGGCGAGAGCTTTATCCTTCGATAAAATGCATTAGCATCTGGTGGGCGAGACAAACGTTCATGTAAGTATTCGTCCAAGAATGTTGAGTGATATGTTAGTTGAACACCAGGCGAGAGATGAACTCGCGTCTCATCCTTTCCGTGGGCCCGTCATAATCACTGCACGTGTAAGTAATGCAACTCAGTTAAAGAATGCTGGACCTTTAGTTGTTGAGTCTGTTTTCATGGTCGACTTTAATTACAAAATATTGATTGCTTTCATCTTAGAATAATTTAGACTGTCGGGAAAATCATAGTGGTGGGTGGGTGTTTTCTTCTATGGCCGAATCGATCGCCAGACCAAAATATATCATCTAAACTTTATTTGTTTCCGATGATGAAATTATGGTTTTTCACTGGCTTTGATTTGATTACTAAACTGAAATTCTGATTTGAAACGCATTTTCTTCAACATTCGGCATTGAAGTTCCAATCAATTGTAATATGTTCTTTTCGGCTAACCCTTTTGAACCCGTGGTACCGCAGCCTCCGCATCTATAACTGGCAACACTGGACGGTCTTCTCCATCTCCTCTGCATCTTCAACCCCCAGCGTGCTTCGCCTAACAGTGCTGCGCTGAGTTAAAGATTAAGAGGACGTGGAGCAGACTGTTCAGAGTTGCCAGTTAGGAATGCAAAGCCGTGGGTCATGGTCCTGAAAGGGTTAATCCATAGCACAAACTTAGTAAATAGTTTTTCTTTCCCGTTCAAACGTTTGGACGTCTTCGTCGTTTTTATGGACTTCTTCGTGCTATTCGCTCAACGATGAGTTTAAGATATACTGGAACTTTAGTTCACTTCCATTTTACGTGTTTGTGATGTTATTTGAGTACTGTGAATTGTGTCATTAATGAATCCTTTTATTATTCATTCTAAAAGATTGAGTGGTATGAAATAAGTGAACCTCATACTGGAGTTGAACTCCTGTTCCACCTATACCGTGGGCGCTTTTACCACTACACCACCGAGGTCACCACTTTGGTACCACTCTTACTTCGATATCAATTAGCGAAGCTCTAGACAGCGGACCCAATAGGTCTGGTCGGGTATGCACATCTCGGCATTGAACCCAGTGAAGCTAGTAGGTTTTATTGAGATTCATCTATATTGTTCTTCTTTTTACTGTTTTTTTTTCTTTGAAAGAGTGGTAACAGGAAGTGGGCTCAGTGGTGTAGTGGCAACACGCGCTCTCGGTGTGGGTGAAACGTGGGTTCAACTCTCGCTTGAGGTTGAATTTTCATATACCACAATGTCTTCTAAGATGTATCTTTAGGACAACATGCCTCTATTAAAAGTAGTGAAAATAAAAAATCGAGAAGGAACAGTTCTTATTCAATTGAACCACTGAGGATATTTGGAGAGGGGAGGGGGATTGGGTATAATTTTGGGTTATCAAGTGTGTTCAGAATGAAGAATGAAAAAAAGATTTTGGTGTATTTTATTGTTTAGGCATCATATGCAAATCGTCTTAAGCTTCAACCCAAAGTCGATAGTGACCAGCTCGTGTATTTGACGAAATAGAAATTGGTCTGGCGTTTTGGAACGTCGGGATCTCCTTACCTCAGGTATCACAGCTTTTTGTTAGTTTCTATTTGATACTATCTGCTGGAGTTCTTTTAACACATAAAGAACGTCTGACAGAATCAATATATATCGAAGAAAGGAGCGATACGTAACTTTGAACCTTGGGTGGAGGTAGAACTCTGGTCTCACCCTTTCCGGAGATGCGTCCTAACCGCTGTATTGCCGAGACCCTTGTTTTGCGGTCACTTTCCGCGATAGGAATCTGATGAGGCAAAACATGTGCGGTTATTTGCTCACATATTCGACCCTTGTATCGCAGAATAAAGGATAGCAAAATTGGCGCCCCGCCAGTGCAGCAGTTAGCACGCATCGTTGGAAAGGATGAGACCAGAGTTCTACTCCCACCCGAGGTTCAAAGTGTTGCGTATCGCTTAATGTTCTTCGATATAAAGTTATGCCGGTGAGGCGGTAGAATAAACATTTCGCGTCAAATCTATGTATTTTGATTTAGTGGTAAGACTGGAAGTAGAAGATTGGTCTCATGTCAACTAAAACTAAAATTGATTCACTAAAAAACTGAGAACTAAAGTTGATTGACTCAACAACAAAATGATATAGGCTTCGGCTTTATTTTTCTCATAAGAAATACTTATTTCGAGTCTATAGATAGCATTGAGGGCGTGAAACCTTTCGATGCGACAGTTTAATCGATCGCACTATGCAATTCGCAAGCGGCATGTGATTTCAGTTATATATTTAGTTGGTTTCACTCCATTTTGAACAAAAAAACTCAAGATTTTTTGCGTGACTGCGGTACTCCATGATTTTCTTTACATAGTTTTACGCTTTTAGTGCATATATAATTATGTAAGAATGAAACTCCGAGTGCCAAGGGTAATATTGTAGCCAATTGTCTTGCGAACACTAAACCGTTGTGAGAGCAGTGAACGATGAATTTGGCAATGTACAAAAACAATGTCCATCGTTTCAATGACGTCACTCATACACTGATCAATAGGAAACCAATGAGATGATTAATACATGACAATTTTTTCTTTGATCAGTATCCACTTTCACTATCGATTACTAAACCAGCGATGTATTTGTAATCCTGGTAGTTCTACATTCAGTATCTCTACGAATTATTGCTGCTTTGACTGATTAGGCAGTGATCTCTCATGGATTTCAAGTGATTTGCAAAAACTTGGCCTCAAGCTGGAGTAGAGCTCGCGTTTCGTACACAGCAAGAGGCGTCTATGCTACCACTATACTACCAATGCCTTGGCCAGCACTTTCTCCGACATGAGCTATCGAAGATCTCAGAAACCACCCTTTCGCAGGTTGGTCTGATACGCTCATATCGACATTGAACCCAATCGAACTGACGCTATTCCAAATGTATAATCTACAACAATCCTTCATTTACGGGCTTTTTCCTTGTTCCACTTTGTGCCGATAGTTCTTACCAGATAACAACCTCAAAGGGTTGGTTGTTGACAGCTTTGATGACTGATATCGAAGAAAGAGCGGTAGCAACTTGATGGTCTCCATGGTTTGAAGGAGTAACAGGCGCTCCCGTTAAGCCTAAACCCCGGGCTCAACTTCTGTTTGGGGTTGAGTATTTTGCATACTACTCATCATTCTTACAGCTATAATTGCAAGGTCATAACTAACACTGCTAAGAATCAGTAAGGTAAAATGAGATCTTTCACTTGTTCCAGGTATCAAGCAGCGCTCACTAACGTTCTAGTGTTCTTCATCGAACTCGATCAACAACTGAAATACTAAGCCTCGACAGTGTGCATTCGACTTCTCTCATCGTCGTCGTTTCGTCTACGGGTACTCACAACATCGCCTTTTAGCCTTCTTGGTATAATCTTCGACACTGTTATAGGAACCGGTACTATCACGACATTTTTAGTGAGTTGCTAGTTGTGCTTTTATGTCTAAATGTTCTAGAATATCATCCTTTTGTTACACTTCCTTTTTGATATAAACTATTTTCGCTTTTTCTAGTATTCTCGATGTGCTTGTGAGCATATTACTGGGAACATTGAGGGTTCTTCTTTTTTTTTTTGGTACCTTTCCATTATCTGTGCCCAATTTCAACTTTTTGCTGACATTGCGTTATCTGCAGCTTTAGTAGTCATTTGGTAGCTCAAATTTTGACAAGTCTAATGCTATATTTTTATCTCTGAAAACATTTTTCAATGCGCTGTAGCAGTAAAAACTAAATTATGTTTCATGCTCGGCGCATCTCGGCAAATTTTTCGCTGCAGTGGTGTTCCTCTAAACAGTTCAGTTATCATTCATTAGCTCAAATCTCGCAGACGCCAACAGTGTATTTGGTTTTTTGAAAGGACCTTAGTGCTGCGTAGCAGCTAAAAGAGTCTTGGGTTTTGCACTCGGTGCCCATTTCTTGTCGGTAAGAATGTGTAAGAGGCTCTGTATCGATCGCATGATTGATGGATTGCTCAGCGCGTTCCACATGTATGCGTGATTTTTGTTATCAGATCTGGAGTTTTTCCTCGCTTTAAGGAAGAACCTGGATAAATAGGTGAATTTGATATTCCAATTGAATTTCCTCTACGTGTTCATACGTTTTTCGTGCACGGGATTCGGTGTATTAGGCTTAGATTTAGACTTGGGCTTGGTAGTGGGTTTGGTTGGCAGTACAAAATGGAAAAATAAGACCAAGGTCACAAAACGGCAGACCAAAGTTCTTCCTACAAGTGAAATTCAAAAAATCTGCAAAAACCTGCGAAAAGGTGAAAATTTACCTAATCTTTAGCAGAAGTACTCGCGATAACGTGCGCCGATTGTGAAATATATGGAAGCCTTTTCAACAACCAAATATAGTCTTGAAATCGCCGCGTTTAGGCTTTCAAATAGTTACTTGAACTTCAAAAAAAAAAAAACAGAAAACGTGTTGTTCCCAAAAGATTGGAAATGAGTTCGGATAACGGAAAAGTATCTTCATAAGCTTACTCTATCTAGATAGGACAAAATATTGAACTAATCAGGAGTTGATTGGTCTAGATGTTTGAAATATTTCGGTAAATGATTATCGACTTTGTCTATTTGTGTTCATTTTTCATTTTAAACTCTCTTGATCGACCCGTCTTCACATTTTACTTTGGAGATCGTAGTACTTTCAGCATTTGATTCTTACTGATTTCAAGATTGTTTGGGGACGGGATCGAATAATAGCGCCTTGCCTCTTAGTATCATGCGTCACTATCCATTCGACTAGCTCAAACCTTTTTTTTTACGAAGATTTATGACACACCGCAACACTAACTTTTTGGTTTTTCTTACAGAGTAGAAGCCATGAGGGCTGGATTACTTACAGGCTTTCAGAAGAGAGTTTTCCCTATCCCTCTGGTGTTGCTTATAATCTTCCAGATTATTATTTCTTGACTTTCAAGTTTGGATTGAATAATTTGAGAATTGTTCCAAATTAATCAGAACTTCATTAACTTTTGGTTTTTTCGAGTATACCATTAAGTGATTTTTAATATGCGATGTTCTGCTCAATCAGTCTCGTTAGTAGTCGAGACAGGAGCTTTGGTGATAAGGAAAATCTGAAAAATTTTTGTTTGTTCCAGTAGAGTAGTTTTGTTGTTGAAGTTCTTATTGATTAACACGACCATGTCAACTGAAATTGTTTTTATTTCGTCAAATTTCAAAGACACACGTGCCAAAGTGCTCCAAGAGTCCTACGACACACATGCGATGCATTCCATCCCTCTGGTGTCGGCAAATTGGTACCACACTTTTTGTAGGATTAGCCCACTGACATTATAGATCGGAAGACCACCGCGAGTCATTGTAAAAGTGGATATGCATTCAACTACCTTCAACAATGCTGAATATTGGGTTGGCAAAAGATTTTCCGGATTTTTTCGTTTTTGTGCAAGTTTATCCTTTTTTTCCAGCCAAGAAAAAAGACAAAAATGATCGATCAAAGTGTTCCCTTCAACTTCAATCACTTCTTCCCTTTTTTCCGGCAAGTTCATGATTCCGGGAACATGCGAGTCTTTGACGACAGTGACGTGTCACTTGCACTGAAAACAGCTCGCCGGTCAATTTCTTGTGGGCGGCCGGCCCTTTGCTCGTGCGTCAGATCTCCATTTTCATCATTGAATTCATTGTAACAAGCAAAAATCGTAGTCCTGTTACGTCACCCAAGCCTCGTTAATTCGACGGAAAATTTCAGCAGCACTCGAACATAAACGATACTCGTGTACATCAGCAATAGTTTTTGCTCTCGGGACAATTCTATCTCAAGGCAAATCTGTAAGTGTTATACATCAAATCAACCGCAAGAAGCTGATCTAAAGGATCAGAAAAGCAAAAGCCTAAAATGAAAGATAGTAAAAAAACCGGAAAATTTCTTGCCATTCAAATAAGAAGGAATGCATGTCGCATCCGTCAGCGATTGATACACGCAGAGCGTTTCATTCTCTCATCCTCAGCTTCTGATAAATTTCATTACCAGGTGGGAGATATGCGTTAAAGTTGAGAGAAAAAATTTTTGTGGCGTGTATGTGTCATGTATGATTCACACCTCTATTTGAGGTTATGCAACGCATATTTGTTCTCTAAAATGTCACGCGATGGCCTACCGATTTCCATCAAGCCAGTGCTGCTATCCTCTCGGACATCTCGGGTACCATTTCATCGACCTCGAAAGGGTGGAAGGTT